AGAGCCACCAAGCGAGCTGCCAGTTTTCCTGGGGTGCAAATTGTCCTCTTCTTATTCGGGATTGCTGTGTGAGCGCCCCTCTGTGTGTGTTCACAGACACAGAGCAAGAGAGGAAAGGTGGCCAGGAACCAGTCAGGGTGTGCAGTGCAGGCAAAGCACTCTCACCTCCCTGCACTGCCCCTGCTCTATTACAACTGTGTAGCTATGATATTTTCTGAAAAATCCTTTCCTTAGGATTTTTTTCTCCTGAGAAAGCTGAGAGGCCTCAGGAACAAAATGTAAACAATAATTATCTGCTGCTGTGGAATGCAACAGGTGGATCTGTGATTGGTCTCATGTGGTTGTTCCAAATTAATAGCCAATCACAGTCAGCTGGCTCAGGCAGAGAGTCTGAGCCACAAGCCTTTGTTATCATCTCTTCTTTTTCTATTCTTAGCTAGCCTTCTTTTATTCTTTTAGTGTAGTTTTAATATAATATATATCATAAAATAATAAATCAAGCCTTCTGAAACACAGAGTCAGATCCTCATCTCTTCCCTCTTCCTAAGACCCCTGTGAACACTGTCACACAAGTGTTGTGTTAATGACCGAGTGTGGGAGCCATGCAGCCACAGATTTACCAACTCTCACCTTTAGGGCTGTGGAAACAGGGAACCTCAGCGTGTGACAACACTCCTTCCCTGCCACCACCACCTTCATCAGCATCCTGCACCTCACCACATTTCTCAGGAGCAGCATGCTCACAACTGCTCACCCTCCACATCTTTAAATGAGCTGGAGCACCAGGAGTTTGCTGTCCTGCAGTACAGCTTCCTGAGTGTGCTGGCATGGGAGCTTTTCAAGAAGAATTACTGTTATTAGTCTACATCTTCATGAGAATGTTACCTTTCCAGAGCTCTGCTAAGCTAGCTGAGAACACCTAAATGGAAATTGGGTTGAAAAGCTGTTATTTGCCTGCTCTAAGCTGACAGTAAATTTCCAGTTCATGTATGGATTTTCTTTCCCATTTCTCAAGATTTGTGGCTTGGCTGTTATACCTCAGGAGGGAAAAGTGTGAAGCAAGGTAAAGTCTCTGTGAGAGCATAGCAAGTGCCTCTTTTGTGAACATGCTTTCTCTGCTGACTTAACAAGGAAACCAGCTCTCGCTGCATACTCCATTGCAATTTCCAGCTGCAGCCCAAACACACCAAATCCATTAAAGAAAGAGCTATACATCCCCCAGTTGCTTCATATCTGTCATATGTGCACCAAATGTGTGTTTGAAGTGACCTACATTGGCTTTACATCATACCGATACACAACACTTCCTTTTCTGTGGCACTCAGATTTGCATCTATACAATTTACAGCAATGCTTAATTAAAAAAGCCAGCCAAGCAGCAGCCTGACAGAAAGGCTGTAGTACTGTGAAATCAAGTGATGAAGAACTGATCTGTGACCTGAGCTTTTGCACTGCTCACTCAGGAGCAGCACATCCCTGAGAACAGCTGCAACCGAGGGCTGGTAGAGGTGGAACTGATTAGCAGGGCAGATATCACTTGAGGCATCCACCTTCTCCAAGGACGGGGAGAGAAAATTTGTGGGAACTAATCTTTCTTCTGATGAAGGCATAAGCAACAAAGCATGCAAGGATCCTCCCACAGGGAACCATCAGCCCTGCTCCAGCAGCAACAGCATAGCAGGGGTGCTTTCTGCTTATATGGTACACACACAGAGAATTGGAAGAAACCTCTAAGATCACTGAGTCCAACCATTGGTTGGAAGAAACCCCTAAGATCACTGAGTCCGACCATTAACCAAAAACTGTCACTTTCACCACTAACCCCTGTCCCCAGGCATTGCATTCTGATACAGCATTATCATCTTATCTCAAAAGTTCCACACCTTCTCAGCAATTTTTCATGGGCAGCACAGCCAACAAACTCCCTCTCTCCTCTCCCAGCTAACCCACTCTTTTGTAGCCCTCATCTCCTTATTGGACACAGCTGTGGCCCATTAAGGGCAGGCCTGTTCCTAATCTTTGGTGATTAGTGCAGTTACAACTCCTCCAGTGTGAGACTGCCTTCTGCACTATCTTTTCTCACATTCTATTCCCCCCACATGGAATTTCCCATTCCGAGGTCTCACAGGGGGCCACACATCGGTGCACGTACCCCATTGTTCCCTGCAGAGCTGTGCAGAAGACCCTCTTGCCATTTTAAGGATCAGAACACAAAGAGGGGCTGAGAGATTAAGGCTGACAAATGATTTTGTGGCAGATCTCCACTCCATCCATGGCACCAGCCTGCCAACAGCTCTTGGAACACTCACAGACAGTAGCTTTCAAAAAGTGTGGTAACAACTGGAGATTCCAATCCACACCATGGTCTCTTATGGCTCCTGGCATACGCATCTCTAAGGACAGGTAAAAATGTGATGCTTTTTACTTGTTGCAGATATTTATCAATTGTGAGATTACATTAAATAACAGGTGAGTATGTTACATCTCCTATGGCTCGTGTTTGCACCATTAGTTATGGCATATCCTTATTTTCCATTTAAACAGCCCACTTACTACCACTGATTCAAAATACAACTTTTTCACAAGACCGAATCTGTTTTTCAACACCTGAAGTTTTCTTTTGTCAGTCCAAGGGTGACAGCTGACTCCAGCACTCTCAGGAGCCATGGTTCATGGCTTTCCTGGAGAGTCCTCTAGACAACCCTGCTCTCCAGAATATGGCTTTCTGGATCCTGAGTGAGTAAAGACACTTGCCTCCTGCACCTCCAGCTGTGGAGAGGATCATGGAGTTCATGTAAATCCTTGGCTGGGGGTGCTTGGGGCTGGCAAGGAGGAGCTCTGTCTCAGGTCCCCACACCTAGTTGGCCCTACAGAGCATGCAAGAAATTTACTCTACTTCTGGGATGTCCTCCATGTGATCTTAATTGTCATTTCAAGATCTCAGCCCTCACACTGAATGCTGTGTCGGAGCAGCCCAGCCCTGCTCAGCCCCAAGCCTTTCTCCCTCCACTTGGGATTTCCTGGTTCATGGCAGCCTAACCTGGAGGCAAGCAGCAGATTATGGTATAACCTACAGCTAGACACTTTGGGGAATAGGGAAAACACACTGAAATAAAGAAGGCAGAGGGGCTGGCTGGAAGGAGAGGACATGGCCAGGAAAACCCAAGTGGATAGCAGCTATGGCCAAGCATAACCCTCCTCATCGTGTGCCAGTTTCCCACTGAAAAGCAAATAATGGTGACAAATATATGTAAAGTTTCATTGCTAAAATGATTTGTATTTTGGGTACAGATGCTAGACTCCTCAGTTTAGTGCTGCCATGTGAAATTATCAGTTTGCAGGCTCAAGCACAGAGAGAATAACTGCTGCTGCACACATTGTCAGTGCTGTGTATTTTTAGACCTTTGTAGGCGTTTGTAGTTGTTTCAAAGTGCCTTGGTGACTTTTTTTCACATGTTTTCCAGCAGGAATGAAGATGGTTTCCTGAGCTACCTGGAGATAATGACCAGTGTGGAAAATAAAGGGCAAGTGACTGTTTTTATTTCAGGTCCAGAGCAATTCTGAGGCTGCACAGACATTTCTTTTTGCTTTCCATGTTAAAGACTTTGTGATGGCAGCTAGAAATATTTTTCATGACTCTGCCCATTTACCATGCCCCCTGGCAGGGACATGCTGCTCAGGGTTGCAGGATGATTTCGCTCACAGGTTCTTAGGATGGGGCTGGTTTTCTTCCTTGGGATCCCTGAAGGCATACTGTCCTTAGGACAATGATAATTGCACCCAGTTGCCTTAATTTCATTATGAAAGAAAACCTGTGAAAATTAGATTTTAGTGGGTTCACAGTTCCCATGAGATCAGTGCTGAGCTGTTCAAGAAATAATGTCATTTTTCCACAAGAGTCTGGAAGGGCTGAGCTGAGCCCTGCAGGGAGCTGGAGCCAAGGAGCCACAGGAGAGGGCAGCACTTGGCTCCTTTCAATGGGTGAATTGAGATCTCACAACTCACCCATTGCAAGGATGCAAAGTGGGGCCAGGAAGTGAGGAAAGCCCCATCCAGGGCAAAGGGGGAGTCACAGGTGGGCAGAGCAGGAGTGGTCAATCCAAGCAGCCAGGGAACAGAAAATGTGGGACAGGTTCTGTGCAGCTCAGCCTGAAAAATAGGTGAGAGGAGACATGAATGAAAAAGATCTGTAAAGCCCTGAGGGGCACAGATGAAGCTTCTAGTCTCCACTAGTACAAAATTCAGGAGGCATCAAAAGAAGCTAGCTGCATTCTTATGAACAGTATTCCCTTTCTTTAAGTGGTCAGCATTCACTAATTTCCAAAAATTTAGTTTTAAATGCTAGCCCTTTCAAAGTCTTTGGAGGTTTGGAGTAAATGCCCTAAACATGTTTGAATGTTTAAAACAGAGGCAACCTGAATTCCCCTTTAACCAAGGTCTTCTGCAGGGTTTTGTGCTGAGTGCCAGTCAGCCAGCCATTTCTAAGGGACTAGAAATATTTTAGTACCTGCAAACCCATCAAAGAGGTCCTGCCTGATTTTTAGGTCACATTTCTGTGAAAATCCTTCCATGCTAAGGGATGATTTCTGCAAGGGACACCAACCAGCTCTGAGGTACAGCCACAAAAATAAAACACCAGGGCAAAGCAGATGGAGAAGGGAGCATCCATGCAGCCTCATGCTCTGTTGTGCACTGCTGTGTGCCTGCTCCAAAGGGCTCTTTCTGACCTTTCCACACCAGTCCCAGAGCTGGCATGAGGCACTGCTGCACAAGGACAGTGAACACAGGAAACGCAAGAAATTCTTGGCAGCAGCAGCCTGCTGGTGGCTGCCCCAGGGCCTTGCTGGGCAGCCTGGGTACGCAGCAGTCCCAGTTTCTCACTGCTGCACTGCTAGACAAGCTTTTATTAGAGTTTTGCAGGAGCTTAGGGTTTATTACTGCCTCAGCAAAAGCATTCCCACCCTCAGCAATGCCAAACCAAATGTATGGGTTCACATGGAAGAAACAGACACTGACACCAGTAAATTCTCATAATTTGGTTTATTATACATTCTAAATAACCTATTTGATGCCAGTATTTCTTGTGTTAGATGCCATCAGTAATTCTGTCCTTCTTGTTTATCAATTAATGTTGGTAATGAAAATGTACCCAGACAGTTTAACTCACTGAGCAACTCTGTTGTGCTGTAATCATGGCCTCTAAATGTCCAGCACTGCAACTGCAATCAGTGGTAGAGATCATCCATAGTATGACTCTCCTCTCATTGTCCAGAAACAGCCAGAAGAAAACAGTAGTGAGAGACAAAATAACCCTCTTGCTGCTTTTAAACAGCAGCTACAGCCTACAAGGAGCTGGAGAAAGGGATCCCTCTAATTAAGTTGTAATCAGCAATGTCTTTTATTCACCAAGATTTCAGAATCACCAAGATTTCAGGAAGCAGTGTCTCTGCTAGAAGAGAGTCCTCTGAGTGTACTGGAAAGACCTGAGACCCCCAAGTCTGTGTCACTGAACTGACTCTGCTAAGGTCACTACTCACCTGGGTGATGGGGCAGAGTGCACCACCAGCAGGTTTGGTCATGACAAGTGGACAGAGGTGGCTGACAGACTAGAGGGTTGTGCTGGCACCCAGGGAGAACACAAGGCTGGGGAAATGGGCTGGAAGGTAGGCCATAAAGTTCAACAAGAAGTGCAAAGTCCCACACTTGGAGAGGAACAATCCCCAGTCCGTGCTGAGGGCTATCCATCTGGGAAGCAGCTTGGCAGAAAAGCACCTGGGGCTCCTGGGGGACACCAAGTTGGTCATAACCCAGCAATGCGCACTTAAGGCAGAGAAAGTGAATGGTGTCCTGGGCTGCATTAGGAGAGGTGTTGCCAACAAATTGAGGGAGGTAGTCCTTCCTCTCTGCTCAGCTCTGGTGAGGCCATTCCTGCAGTGCTGGGTACAGTCCTGGACTCCCCAGTACAAGAGAGGCTCCGACAAAGGGCCATGAAGATGATGAAGGTTGTGATGCACCTCTCCTATGAGGAAATGCTCAGAGAGCTGTGATGA